GCTCTCTGTTCTTGGTTTTGCTGGAGCTACGGGTGACGGAGGGGGGTCCGGGGGTTTTCGAAGCCATGATTTACGATCTAACGACCGGACGATTAGGACGCATTTCGCTAAGAAATCACCCCGGTGGATCGCGGCACGAGGAAACGACGAAGACGGCGTCGGTAAGAAGCCGGCCAGGGCAAAAGAGAGAAGGGCAGAAACAGGTGGGGAGCTCCGCGATGGAAGGGAAAGAGAAAGATGGCGGGGGACGGGAGAGAGAAAGGGAGAAGGACCGACAAACGAAGAAAGACAGAGCAGGAGAGAGAGAGTGAGCGAGAGAGAGAGAGAGAAGGCAATGGAAGGTGGAAGCAGAATACCATATACGGTCACCTTTGTCAAAGCCTGGTTGTCGCCATATACAGGCAATGTTCGCGATGGCAGATACTTATATAGAGTCCAACTTAAGAATCAGGAATGTCGGTTTTTGTCGCGCCTTCTATACACACCCGTGGTAATGGGGGGTACAAATGCGACTCGGAAGTGATTGTCGACAACGCCTGCCGTTGCCGGACAACGGCCGCTTTCGCAGCCCCCCGTGCTTTCGGGAATGCTTTATGAACCGTGGTCCAGCGACGGTCATCTTGGCTGCCGACGTCCTCCCCGAGCTCACCCTGATCTTGACTTTACCCCTGCAGCCTGCAAATCGCCTCCTTCTGGCCTGGCGAGCTCCGTAAATTTTTCGATCCGACGCTCGTTCCTTATGGTACAAAATGTGGGACACGATCGACGACTGTTAGAAGTCTTCGGCTTCGGGAACTGCGATATGGGACACCGACGACACGCTGAAATGAAGGTAGTTGTGTTCACATTCGTTATAGAGAATTTTTTTAGCGGAATGCGTTATCGGTGGCGCAGTCAGCGAGTGATCTAGATTCTTTACTCTTCGGGTTCTCGCAAAGATAGGAACGATGTGAAACGTTGGTGTCGTGGATTTTGGGTTCGAAGCTGAAAAACGACGATACGAAGATAGTTATGGCGATGTTCATTTTGGACAGGTTTTCGGTAGGGAACGTTGTTCTAGTACAAAATGGAGGGCACGGTCTGAACTCTCGTAGGTCTTCGGGTTCTCGGGAAAATGAGAACGGTGTGCAACGTTATCGTAGATGCGGATTTTCAGTTGGAAGTTAGCAGACGACGAGGTAGCTTGGTTTTGCGAAATGTTTCGGTAGGTCGTTTATTAGAACACAAAATGGAGGACATGATCATCGAAGGTCGAAGGTCGTAGAGTTTGCAAACAGCATCGACAAGCTCGGTCTTGGAGAATTATTCTGTCACACCGTTGCTACGATACAAAATGGCGGGCATGATCATCCGTTGACACTCTTGGCAGGCTCGTTAACGTTTCGAATTAGTAACATTCTCCAACGAGAATGGTTCTCGTCGAGCAAGGCGTCGCTGCGAAGCAGGCTTCATGTTGCAATCTCGCGATCGGCGATATCGAGAAAGACGGTTCCCAAAAATTCGCTTCTCAAGCAGTGCTGGCAACACAGGATGTTAAAAAATCACTGTCAAACTGTTCGGATCGCAACCTCGAATCGGGCGACTGCAACTATTCGAATCTTGTTCCCGGACGATCACTCCACTTCTGCACAACCGCGTTTGGACGCGACGATGGTGCTGTCCATCCGGTGACCGATATCTTAACAGTACTTCGATCCGAGCGAGCCGCTGCGATCGAATCACGGCGACTGCCGGATCAGCCGAATCCGTGGCCACGATAAAATGAGCCGGCGATCCTCGTATGAGGATTATCGGTAGCGAACGATCGCTACCGATCGGTCCCCAAGCGGAGGCGCATCGTCGTGTAGGCAGCGATCCATCGGCGAGTGGGTCCTAATCTCGGCAGCCGGTGCCCGCCGGGGGACCCGATTTGCTTTCTCTCGATGCAAACGCGATCGGCGCACTCGCGACATGTGTACGCGTCCTAACGAGGGAGTCGAAATGCATGTATAACGCATAGAGGCAAAGCGTGCGGCGCGATGCAACGCGATGCGATGCGATGCGATGCGATGCGATGCGGCACGGCGCGGCGCGGCTTCGCTCGGCTCAGCTCGCCGGTGGAAAAAAAGGCTTCTCCACGGTGATGGCGGCAGAGCCCGGGGAAAGAAAGTCACCCGGGGAAACATAGAGTCCTGCGTAAATTTGTGAGAATCTCCCGTGGAAGCGCGGTACGAGTTCAGGCCGCGCGGATGACCATATAAGGTGCGCGAACAAGCTCGCGCATCTCTCCCTGCTAGGTAGGTAGGTAGGTAAGTTGGTTGGTTCGTTGGTTGTTTCGTTGCTTGCTTAGTTGGTTGCTAGACTCCGGCTGATTGATTGGTTAGTTGGCTGTTTGATTGGCTCGCCGATATTATTACCGAGGCGTTATCTACGATTTACAGGCCACGCACCACGTGATGCCATCCTCTTCTTCTTCTTCTTCTTCTCTCTTTCTATCTTTCTCTCTCTCTCTCTCTCTCTCTTCCTATCTCTTGTTTCTTTCTCTTTCGTCCTCTCTGTCTTCTCTTCGGACCGCCACTCGTTAAGGGTCTGGAATTTACGGTCCCGTACAGGTGTACGTTATTGTGTATCACTTATGACGGTCGTTCCGCGGCTCGATGTCGCGATTTATTCGACGTTCGCTTGATTGTTGCCCTTTCTTCCTCGGGATATGCTAATTGCCGATAAGGGAGAGGGCCGATCCCGGGAGGTCGTTAGCATTCGGCGGTCCTTCTCGGCTGTTTAGGTAATTGCGGCGGGGCGAAGGCGGAAAAAAATCGATCTTCCTTCGTCAGTTTCTGCGGAGAAGCTATTAGGAGACGTTACGAGCGCCGTCACACCTGAATCCTAAATCTGGCGTACGACTTTTACTGTTTTCGACGCGTGTCAGGTTTATCACGTTATTAACCGCGATCGTTATCGTAGGATTTTTAGATCTTTAACGAAAGAGACTCGCCGCGACAATAAGTGTACACGATCGAATGTACGGCGATGGTACGATGCTTGTCACTCGTCCACATGTCAGCCACTTATGGTCAGCGAAACTTCCTGGAACACTGTAATATCATTTATTACACTATTGTGCGATATTTTTAGCCCGCCGATGCTCCGCAAAACGAACTTCGCTAGCCGCGGGTTTGTAATATTAACATTCGGTTCACGGAACCCGTCGAAATGACAGGTCATTGATTTACGACCATTCAGATTGTAAAGATACGTCTATGAGGTATTTATTCAATGTTATGCGTCGCTTGCGGTAAATATTACAAGAACGCATGTTAGAAATCAAGGTGAATGTCTTGTTGTTACTTTTGTAAACTAATGTAATAATAGCTGTGTTTCCAGTGTTCCGTAAATCTGGTGTTAACGAAACAATATGTAAACTGTTCATTGAATAGTGCTCGAAACTGTCGCGAACGTAATTATTTTACTGAAAAAAGCGAATTTTTACCGAAAAGTCTCAACTGTGTTTAATATTTCGATCAGGCTTGTTGTTTCACTGTGAACAAGAAGAAAAGGAGAAATCTCTTGGCGAAGGAGTCGCTTATCATTTTGCGCAAAATAAATTATCTAATCGGGGAAACTTGTAATTATCGGGAACGCGATTCGAAAGATCGCCGTGAATCGTCGCTGATGGAAGCAATAATAAGGTGGGAAGCCTTGTGACGATGATTCATAAATTTCGTATCGGCGTGACACGATCCGTCCGGACGCCTAATATATGCAAACGAAATTAAGATCTGATTCATGCAGCATCTGATGAATCCGATTAGACGCGCGTGCATATCGAAATACGTTACGCGTTAACCATCGCGCGTGGACGGTATATATCGTCAACAATTTAGAAAGTTAATGGAGTAAAGATCTCATGGAAACGTAAGAATTCATCATGGTTTTTGCCCGGCGATCCTGCGTGTACACGCTTAGGTTTGTAATAATTACGCGGGTTCTCGGAATAAACGCGTAAATGGAAGTCACTTTCAAATCACACGTATGGAGATCCCTCTTGTACTTTGCGCGTCCGTTGGCCAACAAAAAAATGCGAACCGATGAAAAAACGTATTTCGTATGCCGGAAGTGTCTTTGTTCATTGTGACGGGGGGAACATGTTTAAACTATTACTTTCTTAGCTTTATTCGGCCGAGAAAGGCATGCTTCGTGAAACAAGATCATTTTCTTTTCCTTCGCGACGCATTCTTCACTTCGTCGTTGTCAGCGTTGAAGAATCGTAAAACGGTTAATTTGTTTTAATCGCAAGCGAAGTCAAGATATATATATATTAATTGTATATTATATTATATTATATATTGTATATTAATTGTATATTATATTATATATATATATATATATATATATATAAGAGAAAAGATTATTTTGGCAACGAAGAAGTCTTACGGGTTTCTCTGATGAAGGATCTTCTAAATTTTCTACGAATTCTACTTTCCAATTAACGAAGTTTATTTGACGTTGGCAATCGAAGAAAGTTAAAGAAGAAACACGCTGGATCTAAAGTGGATTATACGCGATTAAGTATGCTTGTCAACCATTCTTGAGCGGCCATATTTGGACACCTTGTCTGTCCATTTCAAGCTCGAAGCTGCATTAGGCTCCGACTTTCCTATTAATTCAATAACAACATAAATACTTTCATTTTCACGTTGCTCACGACACCTTCGAGCAAATAATATTCTTTGACCCTACGCGATCTAAATGCCTGCGCATTCATTACCGTGCACGCATTCCTAATCTCTTATAAGGGTAACTCGAGATTACAAATCGTTCGAAGTAAAATTAATTAAACGACCTGTTCCTGTAATTACTTCGAAGCTCTGTGGTTGGCGTTGGATTTCTTCCAATATATTCATTGTTAAAGAAACTATTTGGAATCGTTGATACGTTCTAGGATAATTATTTCGGTTAAGCATTTTGCAAATGGTTTTTCATAACTTTTAATAACAAAGGGTGATTCTTTAATGTTCTAGGAAGACGGTACTTCACCTAGGTCGGACGTCTGCGCTAATGAAAGCGACGGAGACACGAGCGATGGCGATTCTCCGGTTTCTAAAGATCTCCCAAAAAATCATTCGGGTGAGTGAATCGAAAAAGATACAATTTTCTATTGTCTCGCGAGATCTGAGATTGAGCTGCATTAGACGCGCGTGAAAAGAGGAGCATTTTAAGTAAAGAAACATTTCTAATACTTTGCTGAGTTTTGCATGAATATCTGCAGTCCCTTTTCACTTGTACTTTAGGTAGAATATTAAACAATTCACACTTTAGAAATTGATTTCCACATACTGATTTGAAGCAGTGAATGTTGATAGATACTAGTATAAAATTCATGCACACTATGTTCGAAAGCAAAGAGAAAATACTATACTGTTTAATTGTAGTGCGTGTATCGTCTCCGAGTTTCTGCAATTCCTAAACGGTTTCCATTTGCGAGAGAAGGTCAGATGAGCTTGTTGATATAATTCTTTAACATTCAGCTGGCATTAGCTTCAAACCAGCTATCGTAAGCGCGGTGGTTATCGTGAGCCTTCCAAAATGGCGGAATTTATATAATGCATTCCATCGGCTCGTACAAACTGTTATGCACCGTTTTCGATGATTATTCGTAAAAACACACTGTTCCAACAATTCGTAAAAATCAGCTCTGAACATTTCGCGCACACATTTTCGTGCAGCTCGGCCTGTCGTGTCTGTCCATTATCGATTGCTTCTACTTAAAGCTAATGCACATCAACAGAGTTATTAGTTCTCCATTGTAATCTTCGAACAATTAGTCTGACAACGACACAAACAACCGCGGAAAAGAAACGTGCTATGCGTTCATGTTTATCTTAAGTAGAAAAAGTTGGTAATGGACAGACACGCCCAGACGCTCTCGACACGACAAAATTTTATACCACATGCTTGTATTTTCATATTTTTCACACGAAAACATCGTTAGTAACTTCACCGTTGGCACGTCATTATTAAACGCAATCTATACTTTCGCATAAATCCGTAATAACAAGATTCAGAAAATATAATAAGCAATTCTTTTATTCGGTATATTTTCGTGTGATGTGTGTTTCAACATTAAATACTGTTCTGCTAGAGAGGATATTTCCGTTGTAATTACCATTTCCTAGAACGGTACTAATAACCATACGCGTGGGTGTATTTGCGCCTTTTCGAACCACTGTTTTGTTAGTAACACGCTGTTTCATTCGATGAGGACGCATGTGTGTTTACACGATTTAGATGAGTATTTCAAATAAAGGATTACACGGGTCCATTAAAATTAAATCAATCCTTATGTAGTGTGTTTTCTAATGTAAGTATGTTTTCAATACTTTCAAATATAATGCGTTTTAGTATTTTCGAATATAATGTGTTTCAATACTTTTCGATGTATTTTAATACTTTTAAATGTAATGTGTTTTAGTACAATTCAATATAATGTATTTTAATACTTCTAAAAATAATAGAACTTCTAAAACATATCAATTTTGATATGTTTCTAATGCTGAATACATTTAGAGACTTCCCACAATTTTTATTATAATGTATTCTTGAATTAGGAAATGCGTTTGATCATTTCTTACGAAAAGAGTCTTCGTGACTCCAAGGATTATAAATGAAGAATATGAAACTGACGAGTCTAATGAGACTCTGAACCACTAAAAATTGCTATACCTACGGCACAACTATTTTCAGTGTTTCTCAAATCAAATGCTATTCGAAATATCATCTCAACAATTTTTTACGACGAATAAAAAATCTTACTTTAGAAGGCACATTCTTTCGAACAGATAAAATATTTTATTTCTAAAAGCACACACAGACTCTCTCGATCAAGTAAAATATCTTATCTTTAAAAACACGTTCGTTCGAACAAATAAAATATTTTCTTTCCAAAGAGACACATGCACGATCGAAAATAAAACGTTTATTTACTGTTTATCGTTTAAAATATACTATTCCACTCAGATCGGGCCGTATTACAGGGAACAAAGCCGAAATCGCGTTGACAATTTTCCCCAGCGCGCCGCGGTGGGAACAAGAAAACGTGACACCGTTTCCTCCGGTGTCTGGAACAGTTTCACCTCCGCGACCGATCTCGTCGATCCTCGTCTCCGAATCGTCCGGCCGGTGTCCCGTCAACAAAAAAGAAAGAAAAAATAAGAAAAAAAAGAACGGATCCGAATGTAAGAACCGGGTAACAACGGTGTCAGCTGCTTAGACCTCTTGGACCTCGTGTCAGATTTGCGCGCGGGATGGTGGGGCAATTAGCGAATTTCCTCGTGGGCGTGCCAGGAGTCGCGAAACCGAGGCAGCGAGCGGTAAAAGCCGGCGTGGAAAATCGTTAGAGCGTATAGGTAGCCCGGCGAGCCGCCGTGTCGGGGCGAACGTGTGCAATCCAATCAGTCAGGTAGGTCGGTAGACAGAGAGGCGAGCTCGTAGAGAAACGAGAGAATGGCAGAATGGTATAGTATATATCGACGAGTGTGCGGTTTGAGCGCGCGCGGGCCCGAGCTTGAGCCTCGGGAGCCTCGGGAGCCCGAGTGCTCGAGGGAGCGAGAAAACGCGCGAGCCGCAAGAGAGGGAGAGGATAAAGGAAAGAGGACACTTAAAATGCGAAAAGTGTGCGAGCGATGACGAGGTTATCCGTGTAGGGGAGTACATAAGGAGTTGTACGGGCCGCGATGACCAAACTAAGACAACGACGCGATGCCTAACTGGGAAGTAAGATCCGGTCGAAAGCCGCGCTCCGATGCAGGTGTACACATAAATATCGATGCTAATATATGGAGTGGATGCCATCCGACTTACCGATCGCCGGCATGACGTACGCCTCTCTTTTATTTTTTTGTCTTTTCGCCTCTCCATTGTTCCCCGCCTGGCCGACTGTCTCCGCCCCGGAATTTTGATAACTCGACACGCGCTCATATCGAACCGCCGATCTGCTACCGATCCCTCGTTTCGACCACCCTGCCGCCGCCACGTGAGATTTCCTCCTTTTCCTTTTTTACGGGTCTTTTCGACTTTCGCCCGAACGATCTGCCCTGGATCGCGACGATTTTCGGGACGAGCGAGCGTCGATCGCTCGTAGAAAAAACGGGTGATAGAAAGAAAAAGAAACGAACCCTGGATTGGAGATGATATCTTTTATCGGGTCATTAAGTATGAAACGCGTACTTTACTCTGTAATTTTACTCTGAAATCTATGCATTTCATGCTTAATGACCTAACAATAATATAATAATGGTTTAGGAACAGGGGATGTGCCAAAATCAGAGATAGCTCGTCGATCGAAGTTTCGTAATTGATGAGATCAATTTCCGTGATGAAAAAAGCAAAAAGTTGTTGAGAGAATGTAACGAAACAAAGAAGTAACATGTGAAATAAAGAAGAATTTATACAACCGTGGCTCCGTGAACAGAAGCGGATCGGTCCGATTCAGAAAGAAATGAAACTATTTGCTCATCGACGAACGCATGCACGTATATTGTATTTTGCCATGATTTCTTTTTGTAGGTATAATGTATCATCAGATGCCACAAACAGTCATTTATTCGCCGAGCCCAGGAGTTCTGCTTGGTATCGGTCAGAACGGTCAACCTGTGCAGATCTCTCAGGAAGGAGGTGAGGACCCCGTGAAATTCCCCACATTTAAATCCACAGAAAATTGAAAGAGCTTGTAGAAAATCTTTTATCGAAAAATAGGAGAGATTTCAAGATGAGATTGGAGTTTGATCACGTATCTCGTAGTGGAACCATCTAGCTGCTCGGCCAACACAGAGCTCTTCAGTTTAATTATTATTTGAAATTAGACGATTCCATTAGGACGAATAGGCGAAGAATCTACAGTATGGAGGAAGAATGTATCGGTTCCTTATACGCCAAGTTGAGAAACACACAGCCGAATTCGAAAACAAAGAGCTCTTTATGAAACAATTGCATTCCGACTCTGTGTTCCATTTCAACAGCGCGTACGTCTAGGGTATTCTCTCCCTATTCTCACCGTTCGGGATTGGCAACACAATGCAAGATAGCACTGGCCACGATTCTGCAATCATATCATACGCGTTGACACCCATCCGTTTGTCAACTACCTACCCATTTAGCGAGAACGGCGATAAGACTTTCAAAAGTCAACGTAACTCTAGCGTAGAAACTGGTTCGAAACCACGTAACATCTCCGAAAATAATTCATGCACGAACTCTACAAATTACATTGCAAGAGAACGTTAAGCTAGATACTGTACCCACGTTATACATATTATTTCGTCAACATCGTAGCAGCAGGACAGAAATGCAGAACATTTGAAACGTTCTCTCCACCAACAGATCACTGGTTTTTGGCCAAACTTCAATAATCAGAGACAGTCCAAAATGCGAGAACTCGTGTTACAGAGTGCCAAAATTAGTGGAACCAACAACCATGTAGCCAAATCTCCCTGATATTTGCTACAGTGTCTATCGGGTTCACCCTTCTACAGATCGGGTACTACAAAGTCGTCAAACTAAGCATTAATTAATAAATTCGTTCTTGTCTCTTTCACGAGGTAACACATGTGTCTGTTGTTCAATTTGCGGTATTTATGAAACATTTTATTGTTAACTCTATCGAAACGTTGTTTAGTTTGCGGTGTTTATGAAACATTTAATTGTTAATTTGATTTAAACATTGTTTGATGTGTAATACTTACGAGAAATTGCATCTACCATGATCGTTCTATGATTTGTAACAAGAATATGATGTAAGTGCAAGTAACATAATATGATTTTCATTCATACAATACGAATATAACATAAAGTCATGAAAATAATATTTAAAAAGAAATGATGTTCCCCTTTTATTATACTTTCTCATTTCAATCAACTCTGAAAGGGTTAACAACATACACAATTTATTACACCTGCAGGTATACCTCAACACCGTTAACTATGAGAATCAGTAAGGACTTCATCTAGCACTATACCTAAGCGGTCGTTCCACTATCCGAATGTTCACGCTTTTCTTCAGATAATCAAAGTTCCACTGTACCTACTAAGGGTCGGTTGCACTAGTCATCGATTGCGACCACCGAATGTCCACGATTTCGAAAATACGATGGCACATTTCTCGCGCATAATTTCGCTCGTGCTGAATTAGGTACGCCGAGTTGCGAGTCTGATCTGCAAAAGGATGAACCCGAAGGTAGAATCGCGAGTGCGAGCCCTGCAAAAGCTCGACCCCCAAATTCGGTCCAGCTGGTGAAGACGTTACCGGTTTGATTGGACCCCAGGATTTCGGGATTGTTCGCAGGCACAGTGGCTCCGGTGAACTCGACGCAGAACAATCAGCCGTTCATCACGATCCCCTTGAACGTAGCGATGAGCGCCGCGGGTCTGTCGATGCCGGTCACCTCCAGGATGAATCTGTCGCCGTCGCCGCGATCGCCGACGACGACGACAACGGCGACGACGTCGGCCTGCGACCTGCCATCGGACCTGAGCAAAGACCGTGAGTGACACCGTGCCCGGATCGTCGTACTCGGCTGAGAAACCTCGGCGGGCCTGACGCTCGCCGATATGCGATGACTTATTTAAATGGACAATCATTTCACGACGGTAATTCGGCAGCCACGAACGCGTGACCCCACGGAAAATACCGGAGCGGAACCATCCTCGCGATCATGGACGCCTGTGCTCGTTGCTGGAACCTCGGCGAGACATCCTCGGAATCTAACGTTCAATTTCCTGCGACGGTCTTCGTTAAATGACAGTCAGGGATCGAGACGAGCATCGGGTATGACGGGCGCGACGACAAGCTAGCCTTCCGATGGCAAGATCAGTTGTAATCGTCCGTAGTCTCTTCTTCTTTCAGCTCGAAGCTTAAAGGAGCAGAGCTCGAGATCGTTCTCATGTTGTTTCGTTTCGGACACAAGGTATTATCGATACCTCGGAATTATTTCGTGATATAGTAATGTCTCTCTAATTGACGCTCAAATTGTCCACAAAAATGGACAATTTGCGAAGAGGAGATACGATTATTCGAGCCTTGCGGTTCGTTTTCATAGTTACGAATTGCCAATAACTAGAAGAACGAGTCGCAGGGCTCAAATAATCGTATCTCCTCTTTCAAAAAATTGTCCATTTTTGTGTACAATCTGAGCGACAGTCAGGGAGACATTACTGTATACGAGGTCAGTCATTCAACTGTTTCACCTTAATTTTTCTTACACGGCAACAATTAATTCTATCTCCATTTTTCTATCAAAATATGAAGTTCACTTGACAAAATATGAAATACGCATGCAACATACGAGTTCAGAACCTGATGTAATATTTTCTTCTGTATTTAATAGACTATGGAATGACATGATAAAATGTTGCATATTATAGTTAAAATCTGCTGTATATACCACACGACTTTCGTTCGAAACATTCTTTCGTACAGCAAGAATAATTAAGACGAAAGGGTTGAATGAGCATCTTTTATAGAACTCTTCCAGCGTTTCATGCGAAGTCAGGAAGCAAAATGTTCTTTCCCCTGTTGATGGTTCCAGACGAAGAGTTACGTCAAACTCTATTTTATTGTCTTTTGCTTGCAATGATTGCAATCCACCGTTCGATGTCGATTTGATCGGTTCGATCGGGGGCGTTTTTGTGGTCGATGATCATCCAGGGGGCTTGTCTCGATCGCAGGCTCTCTTTCTCAGCGACGGTAACGAGTCGCAGACGTCTTCGACCGACGAAACTGTCGTTCCGCGGATCAGCGTGACCATCCTCGAACGAGATCGCTCCGGAATGATTTCGCTTGCCGAAATTAATTTTCTACTACTCGCAGCAATTCGAGGTAAGCTCGAAATCGTCGGAAAGAATCGTTGGAGGCTGATTCCGCTGTTTGTTAATCGAGCGCGCCGAACGTCGGAGACAGGCTGTACCGACACCGCGAACCACCCTCCGAATGCGTTTGCATTCGGCGACACATTTTCGTTGAAGCTGGGCCCACGTTGCCAGCAGTTAGTCGATATCTATGCAATACTAGTCGAGCTAGTATACTAGTATACTGGAGTACTAGTCGGCGAACGTTCCTCGGAGCAACTTTTCACTTTCCTCGTGGTTCACCATCCCCCGAGGTGTGTCCGCTGTTTCGGACATTGTTGATAGGGTCGCGTAGGAAATCGAGTCGATATATAATTTTTGTTTTTTCAGCGACCAAGCATCGCGATTATTTTGCAGATCCGATGGCGAGCGCGGGACGAGCCGTTCCCGGAATCAGGAAAAATCGAGAAGGGTGATTTTTCTAGTCCGGAGACCTCGCGTCGTACTCGCCGGGGTGCGACCANCGACGACAAGCTAGCCTTCCGATGGCAAGATCAGTTGTAATCGTCCGTAGTCTCTTCTTCTTTCAGCTCGAAGCTTAAAGGAGCAGAGCTCGAGATCGTTCTCATGTTGTTTCGTTTCGGACACAAGGTATTATCGATACCTCGGAATTATTTCGTGATATAGTAATGTCTCTCTAATTGACGCTCAAATTGTCCACAAAAATGGACAATTTGCGAAGAGGAGATACGATTATTCGAGCCTTGCGGTTCGTTTTCATAGTTACGAATTGCCAATAACTAGAAGAACGAGTCGCAGGGCTCAAATAATCGTATCTCCTCTTTCAAAAAATTGTCCATTTTTGTGTACAATCTGAGCGACAGTCAGGGAGACATTACTGTATACGAGGTCAGTCATTCAACTGTTTCACCTTAATTTTTCTTACACGGCAACAATTAATTCTATCTCCATTTTTCTATCAAAATATGAAGTTCACTTGACAAAATATGAAATACGCATGCAACATACGAGTTCAGAACCTGATGTAATATTTTCTTCTGTATTTAATAGACTATGGAATGACATGATAAAATGTTGCATATTATAGTTAAAATCTGCTGTATATACCACACGACTTTCGTTCGAAACATTCTTTCGTACAGCAAGAATAATTAAGACGAAAGGGTTGAATGAGCATCTTTTATAGAACTCTTCCAGCGTTTCATGCGAAGTCAGGAAGCAAAATGTTCTTTCCCCTGTTGATGGTTCCAGACGAAGAGTTACGTCAAACTCTATTTTATTGTCTTTTGCTTGCAATGATTGCAATCCACCGTTCGATGTCGATTTGATCGGTTCGATCGGGGGCGTTTTTGTGGTCGATGATCATCCAGGGGGCTTGTCTCGATCGCAGGCTCTCTTTCTCAGCGACGGTAACGAGTCGCAGACGTCTTCGACCGACGAAACTGTCGTTCCGCGGATCAGCGTGACCATCCTCGAACGAGATCGCTCCGGAATGATTTCGCTTGCCGAAATTAATTTTCTACTACTCGCAGCAATTCGAGGTAAGCTCGAAATCGTCGGAAAGAATCGTTGGAGGCTGATTCCGCTGTTTGTTAATCGAGCGCGCCGAACGTCGGAGACAGGCTGTACCGACACCGCGAACCACCCTCCGAATGCGTTTGCATTCGGCGACACATTTTCGTTGAAGCTGGGCCCACGTTGCCAGCAGTTAGTCGATATCTATGCAATACTAGTCGAGCTAGTATACTAGTATACTGGAGTACTAGTCGGCGAACGTTCCTCGGAGCAACTTTTCACTTTCCTCGTGGTTCACCATCCCCCGAGGTGTGTCCGCTGTTTCGGACATTGTTGATAGGGTCGCGTAGGAAATCGAGTCGATATATAATTTTTGTTTTTTCAGCGACCAAGCATCGCGATTATTTTGCAGATCCGATGGCGAGCGCGGGACGAGCCGTTCCCGGAATCAGGAAAAATCGAGAAGGGTGATTTTTCTAGTCCGGAGACCTCGCGTCGTACTCGCCGGGGTGCGACCACATGAATTCAATTGTAAAATTCATTCGCAGTTATCTAAGCATTTTTCTTTCATTAATGGTTAAGATCGATCGTTTCTTGAGCGGTGTCGCGCAGTGGCTCCTTTTCCCAAAAAAAATTCGCCACGATTTCCGACGATTTTATGAGGAATGCAAAATGGGAAAATGGGAAATCAGACGCTGCTAACCACTGTTTCTTTTAACTTACATGCTTGCTTCACCAAGAGATGAATATTGCGCGAAGATACATTTCTTCTTTTATTAACTTCATTGTATCGCAAATAATATAACAGTAGTTTTAAATTCTTCTGAAGTTTTAACTACTGGATAATTTAATGTATCAACTTTTGCTGTAAGTGCATAAAGATCCGCAGTCTAGTCAAGAATCTTGTCAAAGCAGCCCTTTCGATGACTATGGGAACTTTTTCTGCTAAGTTCACATATTTTAATGATAAAATGTTCTACAAATTGTATCCTGACCTTAACAAATTAAAGACCTCGAAGATATTACAAAGCGTTAGAATTGGTCGTTTCTGACGGTCTGTATCCCAGTGACCATGCACGATATTTGAAAAATTTCAAACGACAGTTGTTGCTCTGAGAAGCACGTAACGGATGTAGTGCAGCAGCTTTTTGCTGCTAACTGTTTGGGAAAAGGTACCACCGTTCGCCGGCCCCTCGATCGTACATGGTGCTTTTAAAGTGAACTACATATATAATCGATGTTATCCTCCTGTTGAAAAAGAAACCGCGGCAGAATCATTTGCGACTGGTTCCTGTTTTGTTCACGAATGCGATTCACTGTGCCCTCTTGATCGAATTGTACGTTGAATATAGCCTTTTGTAACTCGGTGTGATACAAGAACGATTCTTCCCTTAATAACGATTTCTTCGCAAGAACGCTTGCATTTAATTAACGGCGGCTCGCGATTCGATCAGCGCCGCGATTCGATATCCTTCGTGTAGATGGACGTGTGCGCATTTGGTAACGATGATTTTCGGGATCGATGATCGGCTAATTGTTCGGGTGATAACGTTGTCATATGTTCTCCAATCGGCCGTTCAAACGGACAACGTTGAATCGTTAACCGTAATTAGCGATTAAGCAAGCACTATTGTCAGCCACGTTGATTTAACAGTATTTTTTAATGACACAATCTCTATTTTACACACGATATGGAAATAAATTATTAGCTTGTGATAGATAAACACGCGAGGAACTTGTATTTTTTTACAATACACCTGCGACTTGTTTTCACGCACGGACTTGTGTACCATCGATTCCGTGATCGCATACCGATCATCGAATAGTGCCGGAAAGGGGTTGTTTGTAAATATAAAACGATATCGCTGCTATGTCGGAACGTTCTGTTCCTCCTTGTTGTAACTTAATGGTAGAAATTTTTTGTCCGAGACAGAACGAGAAATTCGCGTCGGTGTTTCGATTAGAAAGAATAAGATATCTTGTACGACATGTAAGGTGAGTCTACAGGATGTTTCAGCATTTAGCCGGCAATATGTTTCGAACACGGCGGTGTCTAAACGAGAGAAACGATTATTATACGACCCATTTCTTTGAATGATACACGACCGACAAAAATGTAATGGTATTTATTCTCGAAAACTTTGTAGATTCACCTTAGACTATCGAAGTGTAAGGTGATATGCAGTCGGAACAACAGCAATTGTTAATGCAAGAATGCGAGTGACTTGTATAAAAGAACATCGAGGAATGGTCTTTCTGAAAAACTGATTGATTTCCCGATTGATTTTAGTGTCGATATTTTCGAAAAGTGCCTTCGTAGCGGTTTAAGAAATCTAGAGAGATAAATTCAAGGGAGGATCTCTATATCGTCAGAAATTGTCTATCTATCCAGTAAGATGTGACAAACATATCTTTTTTACTTGATAATACCAATCGCAGGGTTGCATCTAGTCGTAAAAATGTGCAGAGTGATGACGGTCATGTTATTGATTTCGAAAGTAATCGTAGATACGTTTTTTCCTTTTTTTTTTTACTAAATTTGTTCACCCAATATAATACGCTATTTTGCGAACGTGTATATCGAAACGGCGAACTCAGTAAGTATTTTTATCGAACTGTTTTGTTAGATTTAATTCGTTCATATTAAGTACATAAGATTGTGCTCGAGTGAAAATTTTATGATATTTACAAATAAATGTTTTCTTGCGCTAAGGAAGAACAGGAAGTTATATAAGTATTACATTAAAGGCAGTTTACAAAGGTGAATGAAGCTTTTCGAAATTTTCTTCGAACCATGACACGTTCTCTTGTTCTAGATCATTTTCCGGGCAAGTGCTATTCTTGTCGAGCGATTTCTACAAGATTGCGGATTTTATGCATTTATGATAAAAAATCAGCGGATAAATTGTTAATAAAAGAACTCTCGTTGCCCGCAATCGTTGCACGATCCTCCTCTATTTTGCATAAAGCTCCGCAGTCTACTAATGATAATGCGATTTCACGTGGCGTTTGAGATTATATTTGGATCTTGACTCACATAGTGCTAAAATACAGTTTGTTGAAATTTAACGAAACGGCGATTGGTTTTCGATGAAATAAGGTAGCCAGAGAAAATTACTCGAGTGTTTCACACATATGCCTATATATTCTATAATAAAATAAAAGTTATCGAAACCATTTTCACTGTTGCTTGTGGACACAATTTTCGCATAGTTCGCGATGTATAGTACATGGCAATTTTAACTTTGCGTCGAATAAGATGATAAACGTGAATCCATAAAGTTCAAAGTTCTTATTCTGTGATGGAACAATGTGAAATACGTTTCATGTGAAAACATCTCGATCGATAAATTAACTCGGTTAAAATACACTTATGACCCTACAATTATTTATTCGGTTTCGCGGTTTCATTCTTCGAGAGAGTGTGAGTAACTCGAGATATAGGTTTCCCGAGATATTAGTTTTGTTCTTTACGGATGATGTTCTTTTCTCCAGCATGATCGGTCGATTATGGTACCCACAGCAACGCCGTCGCGTCGGAGGGAGTTATAACCATGACACACGTTTTTCGGTACGATCGTTATCATTATCCAAACTTTAAAGAAACGAAGTAGAAATTATCAAGATTGATCCACAGTGTTTCACTATATTATGAAATTTTGCTTTATCAGCCTGTGCAGAGTGCCATTTTACTTTCTAAGGTGCATGAAAAGTTCCTTGATCCTGTCTGCATTAGATTTGTTATGAATGCAATTGCATTCGCACAAATTCATAGTGACTTGCAAACATGAAACACACTAGCATCCTCTACCATAAGTGTTTTGTGGAATGAAATGGCTAAATCGACTACCAAAAAGATATATTGCATCGACTAATCGAATTTTCTGAGATCTTTGGAAACAGACAAGCAGATGCACTTATTTTGTATTACGCATTTATCGCAATGTAGTCGAACAAATTAATAAGTACGTAGACAAATCACTTTTTTACTTACTTACAATCACTTCTTGGCAACGATAGCATTTTACAATAAAGCAATTGAATAATCGTTTCAATAAAACGAATACAAGCAATGTCTATTCGTATTCATCGTTTATATTTGTTCAACTTGCATTGTCCACACAATTGTAAAGTTCAAGTACGATACACGAACTGACCGTACGTAAAAGTACAAATTCCTTGAGCAGCTGAAGTTAATTTTCTATTAACAGCAAAGTTGCACCGCGCCGTGCAATAATGACGTTGATTATAGATCTCTGTAATTACGATGGAATGTTAATGAGATAAAATACTTAGCGTCTCACAATTTTGTTATTAAAGGGTTTACCATGAATGTACTTGTGCGTAACGCTATATCATTACGGGAATACCAAAGAAAGCCAGATGGTACAAAATGTAAAAGGATAAACGCATTCAGATAGTATATATTTATCACGTCGCGAGTATTTCGTTTACTATAATCTTGTTACACTCGTCTGACAAATATTCTTTACATATTTACAGCACCGAAAATAGAGAAACGGTGCCATAACGAGTTAAAGATGACGACGTTAGTTGTGTCATCGATGAATGCGAATCATTAAATCGCGAAAAATAAATAATAACTTGCATACAATTATTTATGACCGTATGAAGCGCGAAAATTTCGACATTGTAACTTCTATTCGAGAATAACGAATTCAAGAACAAAAGATTGAAATTTTCGGCTATATCTAATTATTACCAGGGTCTAATTGCGCTATGTAAACTGTAATAATTGTATATTATGTGCTGTGAGGGTTGTTTGGATTTCTCTTGGATTTTATAATTTTAATATAAATAAAATTACATGAAATGTGTCAAATATTACCAGTTTATTTAAGAAGAAACGATGAAATTCCATAGCGACTAATTAAGGATGAGAAAAAGTCAGTAAGGCACAGGTAAATAAAATTAATAAATAATAATTCAATGAAAGAGTAAGAATATAGCTATCAAAAATAAGTTACTATGATTGAACTTGATGATATGAAGTTATCTTCCTCGGTTGTTGTGTATCTAATGCAGCGTATTACATAATTAAAGATAAAAAGTTTATCTGCTACCGTAACAAANAAATAAAATTAATAAATAATAATTCAATGAAAGAGTAAGAATATAGCTATCAAAAATAAGTTACTATGATTGAACTTGATGATATGAAGTTATCTTCCTCGGTTGTTGTGTATCTAATGCAGCGTATTACATAATTAAAGATAAAAAGTTTATCTGCTACCGTAACAAANTCATAGTGACTTGCAAACATGAAACACACTAGCATCCTCTACCATAAGTGTTTTGTGGAATGAAATGGCTAAATCGACTACCAAAAAGATATATTGCATCGACTAATCGAATTTTCTGAGATCTTTGGAAACAGACAAGCAGATGCACTTATTTTGTATTACGCATTTATCGCAATGTAGTCGAACAAATTAATAAGTACGTAGACAAATCACTTTTTTACTTACTTACAATCACTTCTTGGCAACGATAGCATTTTACAATAAAGCAATTGAATAATCGTTTCAATAAAACGAATACAAGCAATGTCTATTCGTATTCATCGTTTATATTTGTTCAACTTGCATTGTCCACACAATTGTAAAGTTCAAGTACGATACACGAACTGACCGTACGTAAAAGTACAAATTCCTTGAGCAGCTGAAGTTAATTTTCTATTAACAGCAAAGTTGCACCGCGCCGTGCAATAATGACGTTGATTATAGATCTCTGTAATTACGATGGAATGTTAATGAGATAAAATACTTAGCGTCTCACAATTTTGTTATTAAAGGGTTTACCATGAATGTACTTGTGCGTAACGCTATATCATTACGGGAATACCAAAGAAAGCCAGATGGTACAAAATGTAAAAGGATAAACGCATTCAGATAGTATATATTTATCACGTCGCGAGTATTTCGTTTACTATAATCTTGTTACACTCGTCTGACAAATATTCTTTACATATTTACAGCACCGAAAATAGAGAAACGGTGCCATAACGAGTTAAAGATGACGACGTTAGTTGTGTCATCGATGAATGCGAATCATTAAATCGCGAAAAATAAATAATAACTTGCATACAATTATTTATGACCGTATGAAGCGCGAAAATTTCGACATTGTAACTTCTATTCGAGAATAACGAATTCAAGAACAAAAGATTGAAATTTTCGGCTATATCTAATTATTACCAGGGTCTAATTGCGCTATGTAAACTGTAATAATTGTATATTATGTGCTGTGAGGGTTGTTTGGATTTCTCTTGGATTTTATAATTTTAATATAAATAAAATTACATGAAATGTGTCAAATATTACCAGTTTATTTAAGAAGAAACGATGAAATTCCATAGCGACTAATTAAGGATGAGAAAAAGTCAGTAAGGCACAGGTAAATAAAATTAATAAATAATAATTCAATGAAAGAGTAAGAATATAGCTATCAAAAATAAGTTACTATGATTGAACTTGATGATATGAAGTTATCTTCCTCGGTTGTTGTGTATCTAATGCAGCGTATTACATAATTAAAGATAAAAAGTTTATCTGCTACCGTAACAAA